TGGGAGAACTTGCACAATTGGTGGCTGACTAAATACTTTTTTGCCCCACTGTATATTCTTTGACCGCTGAGTAATTGTTCAACCCACAGCAGTATAGCAATGTGACTTAACAGGTGCTAACTTTGCTGGATAACTATTAACATGCATGGTCTAACAGTCACTATAGCTTTACCACATATTCTAGTACCTTTCTATAAAAGCCACCTGCAGTTATAGACCTTACCTTCTATTAGGCTTAGTGCTGGTCCCCAGCATGAAATTCGGTGGCTTGTTGGTGGCCAATATGGAGACACTGTTGAGAGGAAAAAGCACCCTTCCAATCTAGCTATCAACACAGCTTTGACTATGAGGTCTTCTTATCATGTCGTTCTGTTATCAAATCAATGTCATTTTAATTTAGATAAAATTTAATTACAACATTTAAAAGAAATTTAAATGACTCAGAGTTCTACCCTAAATGACCGAAAAAGGCACTGTCAATAGCGCTCGCTGCTTTCCCTCACTGCAGTCTTGTCAAGGTGACAGGTTCCAATTTTGTTATTTGCTGCTGCATCATATTCAGGTGCGCACAGCACACAAGTCAACTCATCCATGCTTTTGCAAAAATGGAAAGGACTGTTTGGGAAAATTGTGTGTTTTTAAAAAAACAAGTCAGCTTTAGATATCGTAAGAAATATTAGATTGTGGAAAGAACTTCTCACTTGTCTTCCTTCACACCCAGATTTAAATGGGAATGAAATATGAATGGTAGCTAACAATGGAGTACACTTGCTAACAATTAGAAAACATCAATTTGCTAGATTTCTCAGCTTTGAAAGTTAAAGATACCACTAGATGGCAATAGTTATTAATCAAACTGAAGACTACATTTTACCGTAACTTCTATCTGCACACCATAAAGGACCTATATTAATTATAAATTTAGATGCACTAAATTTATATTAATTTAGAAAACATTGCATCTTTAAGGAACCATCGTGATGTGAGGAAAATACATTTTCAGATGAATGGGATCGTTTAAATCAAATTGAAACGTAAGGAATTTGCAATAGCCTTGGAGCTGGTTTATCACCTAGTTCACACCAGCCTGTTGTAAATCTTACCAGAACGTATCCATGGCAACCCAGGAATCTGTCCTCAAAATGCCAGTGAAGGATGTCTTCTTGCTGGCATTTGGCACCCTAAATTGGCCCCTCCTTTTAACCTGTTTCTTCTCACTAGGACAATTGTTTCCTTTGAAGTAGGCAGCAGAAGGGCAGGAAGTAACCGGAGATCATGCTGACTGGGGAATTCTGGGAGCTGAAGTCCACACATCTTAAAGTTGCCAAGATTGAAAAGCACTGGACTATATAATAAACGCTGCAGTGAGCCTTGATTATTTGTTTTGGGTCCTGCGTTTTGATTCCACAATGACAATGTACAAAACAAAGTGACAAAAGTTACATGAAGATGCATCTTGATACCTTTCTCAAAGGCAGAGGGGATTAATCTCAACTCAAAAGTATATATAGAATTGTCTGGTAACCTATAGCCTTTTCCTACACTCTAAGTTTGCAAATCACACTTGACTGTATTTGAATAAACCACCAGTGACCCTTATATTTTGTTGTCATAAGGCACTTTTACAGTCAGGTGAAAAGTTAAGTACACCCCATGTGAATTTTTTTTTTAAACATACATGAACATACCAGCATTTTACCTTCATTCAAACAGTATATAAAGATGTAAGTGAACAAAAAAACTATGAACAATTGACTTTGCAATTATTTATTCAACAAAAAATTAACAGATATGCCATTTCCTTCCATGGAAAAAGTACATCCACCTTTGGTTCTAATACCTGGTATTATTGCCCCCTTTTCCCAACCTCCATGCAGATTTCAGTTGTGCAATGTTTTAAGGGTTGGGGGTTTTTTTTGCATGCACAGCCCATTTCAAATCACCTCACAGCATTTTGATGGGATTTAGATCCAGGCTTTGACGTAGCCATTCAGAACCCTTCCCCTCCTTTTTTAAGCCATTCCTTGATGGATGGATGTATTTATCAAATTTATATCACTGCCCAACTCGCCCACAAGGAGGGACTCTGGGCAGTTCACAACAAAACAATTTAAAGTCAATAAAAACATACAGTATAAAATACAATTATCAAATATAATAAAATCCAAGTGATAGTGATATTTCAGCCTGTGAGTGACCAGATAATATCGGTCAAAGGTAAGACTAGGGAACCAGCCACCCCCTAAACTGACTATTCCCATCCCCACCCCATGCGTGATGACAAAAACAGGTCTTTGGTTTTTTCAGAAGGCCAGAAGGGAGGGGACAAACTGCACTGCTGGGGGAAGAGTGTTCCAAAGGGCAGGGGCTGCTGCAGAGAAGGCTCGCCTCCTGGACCCCGTCAGGTGAAATTCTCTTGCAGATGGGGTCTGTAGCATGCCCTCTCTGCATGACTGGATGGGACAGTCCTTCAGGTACCCTGGACCCATGCCATGTAG